AAAATAAATTAACCTGTTTTGTCCACATGTGTGAGTTTGGCTTGTTTAGGATCTGGTGTACTCCAACTGGGTGACAATCTTCTTTTCTCCTCTCCTGATTTATCTGCAGAAACAAAATACCGGCAAGATGGAGACAATATCTCCTTGATCTATGCACAGCATATGCTTGTAAACTCACCTACATTGTTCTGAACACATTTACACTGTGCACAATTATTACAGTCCCTCAGGATTTATTTTCCTGACTTTGCAGCAGCTCTTAGCTTGTGAGGTGGTAGTAAGGCTTGTCGAGCAGTTCATTCGAGGGTTTTTTCACAGAGTGAACATGTATAGAGAACTCTGTTGTGTCAACTAGGGAGGGTTGGAATAGTTGTCTGTGAATTCATGGAATCCAGCTACAATAAAGTTTGCCATGTGCCTGATGCAAAAGCTGACATTCAACACTCACCTACTGTTCATGTTTCCTAGAAGTATAAATTCTACTTTCTTTTGTGCTCATACCTTAGACTTCGATAATTTGTCCACTATTACAACTTTACAACAACTTTAAACGTGTTTAAGATAATAACGTAACATGTTATTATTAAAAATAATGAAGTTAAAAACTTAAATATAATAACAACATGAACCCGCAGACCTATAGTCTAGGCTAATCTAGGTGGGCCACATCTTTATTGTTTTATATTATACCAACAACTTTATTAACGTGTCTAAGATAATAACATTTTATACTTTATTATTAAGAATAATTAAGTTAGATACTGAAATATAATAATCAACAGTAAGCCTACTATTCAAATACTTAAAATGTTTATTACAAGTGTTATTGTATGGCTGTGTCTCACAAGGACTGGGAATTACTGAATTCACAAATTTGATTGGCAGAAATCAATATTGAAAGCGGTCTAGATTTTCCCATCTAGACCGGCATCTAGACTGGTCACATTTTGTGGTGAAAATGTTGCAAACTAAATTGCAAAATATTGAGTATTTTCTTTTAACAATGTTTACTTATGGAAGTGCCAAAAAACCTGATGAGAAAAAAAGATAAAGTGGACATGCAATCTTTGGCAAAATTCGGCTCATCGCCATTCGTAAGCAAAATGTCAGCTAGTACAAACCAGTTATATTAAACGAATTCAATTGTTTTTGTTTGCCACATAATAAACATCCTATTAACCGAGCTTAGCCAGTCTGTGTGGGAGAATCGACATCGGTCGTGTATACAGACCTCACTGCCTTAGGTCTGAGCTTACAATCTCAGTCAAGATTCTTCCATACAGACCTCCAGCTCGGTTAATAAGAGCTAATTACGAACTATTGACTGGTTATCATTTACATATTAATGATACTAGGAGCTATGACTAACTAGAGATAAGTTAAACGATGGGTTAAAATTAATCAGGCGCTAAATACTAGCTTAGTTCACTAAGCCAGTGCTTAAAGTGTTGAACAAAGTCCCTTAACTAAAATGTGTTTCTTGTGGGTGGAAAATAACACACCCATTAATTGTATAGGTCAGCAGGTAGATAACAAGATTAACAAGATACATCGGGCTAAAATATATGAAATTAGTCAAATAATAATGTGTGTTCATTAGCAGCATCGATTATAACTCACAAAAAATGGGAAGAGAAAATATAATAGAAGAAATACATATTAAATGAACATATTTATTTAAAATGAATTAACAGTAAAACCACAGAGTGGCTTTTCATTAATTTTGATTTACTGTTTCCAGATCAAACTGGAATTTAGAAATGTTGGCTTTTGTAGATCAGGGACAAAATAACTGACAACACAGGAGAACCCAGAGAAAATAACTAAGTCAGCCTAGGCGCTAGACCGAGCTACATATAGAAAACCAATAACAAATTAAATCAACCCATAAAACACTGGATTTAGGATTCATACTCAGGCCACATATTTCACTTGGGGTTAGTTGACATTCAGACTGCTGCAAAGTATCTAGTACTTACCCAACAGTGTTGAATTGCTATCACTGCTTGACCGAGTTGGGACTGTGATTGACACTGGAAACCTTGGTGAAGGATTATATGAACTGCAAGGCTGCATCAGAAAGAACAAAAGACAACCTGTTAGTTAAAACAAGGGTTATGAGTGGCACACTCCTAGCTATCATAGATGCACCTACAG